GCTGTTGTTTACCATCATCTCTGACCTGACTGTGTGGACCGATTCATGTCATTTAAGTTCAGTTTAGTCTTTGAGCAAAAGTCGTTCGTATATTAAAGATTCATGTCTAAAACCCACCAAATAGTTTCAAAGTTCAAAGTGACATGGCTTCAATGTGCTTCTTGTCAAATTTGCAGTCCAAAATATAAAGATATTTAGATAATAAATACATAAAACTGAAGCTGAAACTGTTTAGTGCTTTTTCAAGTATAAAGCACTTTTTAAAAGCTAAGGAATTGTTTTGTCATTTTAATTTGTGTTAATAAATTGAATGTCTGTCAGACGAAAAAGTAATTTTACAAATATTTTTTTCAAAATCACAATCACATTATCTACTCTTCACTGTGTACAATTAATCATGTGTAATAATATTTACCACATATACATGTCATGCTTTTTTAAAATCCTTTACAATATTCTGTATCTAATAATTTTATATTTAGTTTCAGTTCAATTAGGCCCATGGTAGTGTATGAACAATAAATCAGTCATTGCTATAATATTGTCACTGAGACTTATTCAGACTCATTCAAAAAAAGTTTTGACAAGTGTTCTCTGACACTAAGCAAGTAACATAAACAACAACATTTTGTTCCTTTGAGAAGTCTTGCAATGGCTGCCTGAGTTGACAGGTACCTGTGTTGATTTTGATCTGTAAACTTTAAACAGCTAGACAAATTAAAAACTCCTCAGACTGTTAGAAGAATGAATTTAAATGATAAGGAAAGCCACTGTAATCAAAGTGTGCATATGGATTGTGTATCTCTTCCTCTTCAAATCTTTCACCTGATTACAATTGTCTTGTGCACTGTTCAGCACTATTCGCTGCCATCTTTTTTCCAGAGACTTTAAGCCACAATTCTTTGTCATCATCTTGTCCTTGCACATGCCCTGCTTTCTGTTTTAGAACCACCTCTGTCTTACCTTATTATTTGGCTGACATTTAATGGTTGCATAATTAGGGGAATTTCCTCTGACTCTTCCCCAACCAAGTGTATATCATTAATCACCATGGCAACTCAATGATGCCTCAGATTTTCACGAACATTGTGTGTTGTTGACCCCAGACCAGCCCACAGCAGTGTGAGCTGCTTTAGTCAGCGCTAAGACCCTCCCCCGGTGAAGGAGGAGTGAAGAGTCTTGCACTGAATGAACAGTGGTGGAGGAGACGGTGGAGAGAGAGCTGCATACTTTTACTTTTGCATCTAGCTTTACCAACATCAGTCTTGTAAAGCCAGGAGGTGCCAGGAGTCTTTGACAGCCAAGATGAGTCAAAACCTAAAAGCAGCTTAGGAGCCTTTTTTCTTTTTTTTTCTTTTTTGTACACAGTACACTGTTTATATTTATTTTTTGATTACAGAAATGTCAGATATTTATGTGTATTGTCAAATTCAGATCTCATCAGCATCGTTGGAAACAAATGTCAAATAAATAGAGAAGAAGAAAGGAGATGGGCATCACATAAAAATTGTTAAGCTTTAGGGCCAAAACGAATTTTCATTATCTGTTTAAATTATTAGATGCATTTTTATATTAAAAGTACGAATAATTTCCCAGAATCTGAGAATCTAGCACAATTACAGATCCTGATTTTCTAACGCAAGGCTGATCTTTAGAATCTTTTTGGATCTTTTGGTGACTAAACTTGCTTAATTGCAGGACGTTAGATTTATCATTTAAAGAAGTTGGCGTGTTGTCTAGAATTACTTTTAAAACACCAGATCTTTTCTGTGGTCACACTGGAAATGGAATTTTGCCATTATCTATTTGTAGCATGTTTTATGCTATAAAAATGATGAGATGTGTGTGTGTGTGTTTTATTTTGCAGGGCGACAACCAACAACAAGGTAAAGGAGACGGTGGCTCTGGAGCTCAGCTTTGTCAACTCCAATCTGCAGCTGCTGAAAGAAGAGCTGGAGGAACTTAACAGTAACATGGAGGCCTACCAGACAGACAGGTAGGCAGCCCTGCCACACACACACACACACACACACAGACTTAATTATTTGCCCCACAGAATCCAGACCTCACTCATTAGACTAATTAGACTAATGACTATTGTAATTGGTGAAAACAATCACCCGTTATATTATGGTATTTACACTCTACACACTGAGTGGATGTCCTATTTTATTGCTAGCTTTGTGTGAGCCAGTTCATCTTTTTGAGCTTGACAGTAAAGATTTCTTAGACTAGTTTACATGACAGTTAGGTTTCAAGGGGCTATGCATCTATGTCAGTAAGGGTCCCTCCAAATCCTGTGTGTGTGTGTTGTCTGTCAAAACCAGGACATTTTATTCCTGTACAGCCCAAGATCATGTGGGGGAAAAATCCCCTGATTAGAGTGTCATTAAAGACCCTGTGGCTTGCATGCATGCAAGTTTGTGGTCACTGTGAATGGGAGGGGATGATTGTGGGATATGATAGGGCCTTAAGGGTTAATACTTGGCTTTAGCTTGGCCTATTAGTGGAATGAAGTGGCAAGCGAAGTGCCTGCTAAAGACAAGCAGATGGCAGTGCTGACGTAATCATGGTTGAAACCTGCGCTATGTGTGTACGTTAGTGTTTACTTGGTTTAACTTGTGAAGGATTACACACAGACACACTTACTGTACCCATGTGTTTTCACAGTGAAGCTGTCAACGTTCCCATGATCCCACTCGGTTTAAAAGAAACCAAAGAAGTGGACTTCACTGTTTCGATCCAGGTGATGACAGCATCCATTTATCAGTCCTCTACCTCCATGTCTTCTCTCTTTTGTCAAGTTTCACTTTCTTTCAGAGAATAACATCAGAAATCTGAGTGAAACAATAAATATAATATTTAAAATATTATAGCACAAAATAGTTAGCCTTTTTTACAAGCAGTGTTTTAGCTGTGATGGTAATTTAAAGATGAGAAGACAACATACATCACTTAACCAGATTTATTTAATGCAACTAAAAAAAAAGGAATCCTCACATTCATAAGGACTTTTGCTGTTCCTTCGTAAAGTGCACAATAATGAAGTTATATTGTCTTAGCTCAAAAACATCTGGGAGTTTAATCTTGTGCAGCAAACAAACACAAAATAATGTACAAGACAAAATAAGGGTAATCTAATGTATTATTGTTTAAGCTTGGTATTTCATCAGTTATGTAGATCAAGATAATAATACAGTCGTGACTTGATAATCCGACACTAAATGTAAAACCTTCTTTTATGTCGGATAGCAAGGCTGTTGGATTATCAAGACGGAGGTGGAGATACAAGGAGGGTTTGATGCTTGAAGGGTAATTTGTTGTTAATATTTATTGTTTATAGTTGTTATAATAAACTATCTACATGTATGATATTGTTATGGTGTCATAGCATGCCACATTGTTTAATACTTCAAAGAACTTCAAAGCACCAAACCTATCCTTCCTGTATTCCACTCATGTACAGTTGTTGACTAACAAACGGATGCAAACCAACTTAACTAGTTGGGAAAACTCACTCAGTGAGTGGGACTAGTGTATCGTTAGAACACTATGCATCGCTGGATTTCACGCCTATCTGACCGGTGAGCTTGTGCACAAGCCCGTCGGTTGACATCAAAGGTGAGTAAATCTGTCGGACTGTTAAGTCAGATAATACACTGTTATCCTTATTTGTGGCACAAAATGTCATGTCGCAGTCAGAACCCAAGGCTGTCGGTATGTTAAGGCAATTTTTTTATGGGTTCCATTCATTTTTCCTAAAAACCTGTTGGATAGCAAGGTTTCAGGATTGTTAAGGGTCGGAATGTCAAGTCACAACTGCACATAGATTTTTCCTAAGGATGCTGAGGGGCATTTGCAGCTTGAAAATTCCTCTACAGTTTGTTTAAGGAATGATAAGTGGGTACAAACAAATTTCTCATCATGGCTCTGTCTCCCCTCACAGGACTTCATCTGTGACCACTACGGAGAGGACAGCTCTCTTTATGACAAGGAGATCAAAGAGCTTATGGAGCTCAGACAGGTTAATAAATGTGGCCGTACAATTTCATACAAAATAAAGATTCATCTGGTTCAGTATGAGATCTCTACCTCCTACAAGATATGTAGAAAAACTGTAAAAAGAGAAAAAAAATATTTGCATAAAACAGCTTTTCAGTGTGCCAATGGGAAACTTGTTGTCACCTTGAAATGTTGTTTGTGTCTGACATTTGATGTGTATTTACGTATGTGTGTTGTTGTTTGGATCAGGCCATGCGCACACCCAGTCGTAACCAGGCCGGCCTGGAGCTACTGATGGAGTACTACAACCAGCTTTACTACCTTGACCAGCGCTTCTTTCCTGCTCACAGGAATCTCGGAGTTCAGTTCCACTGGTAGGACCTAATCACTGTTCGTTTACAAACTCCTGCTCCACAAAGGCAAAACGTAGTAACCACCTAATACCACCTATTGCTATCAGACCTCTGACATATTTAAGTATTTACTGAAATATGATGTAAATGAATGAAATGAATGAAATTAAATGAATGAATGAAATGAAAAATATTTTATTTATCCCAGAAGGGAAATTCAATCTTGTAAAAGCTCACGTTTTTTGTTTTTGTTTTGTTTTAATCAGTATAACATATATTCTATACAACAACAACAATCATTCAGTCAGTCAGACTTGTTTTTTAAGGCGATGGCTGTTGGCAGGAAGGAATTCCTGTATCTCTCCGTTCTACAGCGAAACTGACGCAGCCTCCCACTAAACACACTCTGTTGATTCTTCACTGTGTTGTGGAGAGGGTGGGAAGAATCCTCCATCATCTTCATCATCTTGTGCAGCATTCTTTTTTGAACAATCAGCTCCAGTGGTTCCAGAGTTACCAACCTGAGCCAAGGCCACCCACATTAGTGATTACAGACATTAACAGAAACATAAAAGCAATATATGGTATTTTACAAAGCAGCATTCTCAAATTCCCAAAATGTCTTCCTGTTCACTGTTGATGCTTTGGGAGCTTTATGAGGAAGATTAACAAAATTAGAAAACAAACCTTATTGTTACTTGTCGTGTACTTATTATTATTATTATTATTATTATTATTATCATCATTATTTTACACCACAATGTAACAAGTGATTTAATCTCTTTTTATTGTCTCTAAGGTATGACTCTCTGACAGGCGTTCCGTCATGTCAACGTGCGTTGGCCTTTGAGAAGGGAAGTGTGTTATTTAACATTGGAGCTCTGTACACACAGATTGGAGCACGGCAGGACCGCTCTGCAACATGTGGCATAGACCGAGCTATAGATGCCTTTCAACGAGCTGCAGGTAATGCAAAAGGGCACATGCACACCTCAATGTTCCACTAGCTTTGTTCATCCATCCATCCATCCATCCATCCATCCATCCATCCATCCATCCATCCATCCATTATCTATACACCGCTTAATCCTCACTAGGGTTGCGGGGGGGCTGGAGCCTATCCCAGGTGACTTAGGGTGAAGGCAGGGGATACCCTGGTCAGGTCACCAGTCTACCGCTACACTTAGACACAGACAACTCACATTCACACCTACAGACAATTTAGAATCACCAATTAACCTCAGCATGTTTTTGGACTGTGGGAGGAAGCCAGAGAACCCGGACAGAACCCACGCTGCATGGGGAGAACATGCAAACTCCATGCAGAAAGATCCCGGGTGTCTACACTGGGACGTGAACTGGTGACCTTCTTGCTGCGAGGCAACCAACTGCACCACCTTGCAGCCCTAGCCTTTTTCACGTTTTGTAAAACTTCAAACATAAAGAAGCACTGTTTTACAATATCGACCTGTCCAGGGTATCCCCTGCCTTCGCCCTGAGTCAGCTGGGATAGGCTCCAGCTCCCCGCGACCCCAGTGAGGATTAAGTGGTGTACAGACAATGGATGGATGAATGTTTTACAATATCAGCTGAACCTCTGCTGTCCATCCATAGATGGGTTAGATGGATGTTTTACACAAAAAAATGAACCTGTTAACCTTTACATGCTACATTGAAGTTCTGTTTGAACATTTTACCCTTTTTAATCATTTGTTTTCTACACCTTATATATTTTTTAAAACTATCTTAATCTTCTATTGATCTTTTTTTTAAGTTAGTCAGTTGTGTACTTAATTGACATTTAACAACATTTTTGACCAGTTATTTTAGATCAGTAATTTTCGTAAATGCCTGCTTTGCTATGTCATGAAATGTAGTATTATAGGGTTATACTATATCAGAATGTAAAATGTTATGAATTTTTTAAAATGGGAGTTATCATATTACATTCTACAGACATAACCATTTCTTTTTGTGTGTGTATTTGTTTAGGTGCATTTAATTACCTTAAAGAGAATTTCTCCAATGCTCCGAGTCTGGACATGAGTTGCCCGTCACTCTGCATGCTGGTTCGACTCATGGTTGCCCAGGTGCAGGAGTGTGTGTTTGAACACGTCACCCTCACAACACAGGACACACACTTTACCTCCCAACTCTGCCTGGCACAAGAGGCTGCACGGGTGAGTTGACACATCCCTGGTTTGTGTGTGTTGTTGTTCTTGATACACTGCAGAGCTCAAGGATAACTTTTTACATTGGTTGTAAAGGTACACATAACACTTTTTACTGTTACTAAATTTTAGCACCAAATACTACATTTACTTTTTTGTCAGTTCCCATATTCTTTGGTTATTTCCTAACACATTATGTAACTGATTGTAAGCAGGAATAAATGCGCAGTTTGTTCTTTTCCATCAGGATGACCTGGGAATTAAAGTTAGTAAATGGTAGTTCTTCTGGTTACATTATAAGCAGTGGTAATTTTTATTATCTGATTATCTGATTACTCACTGCTTTGGTTTGTCACTGCCAGGGGCCTGCTCTACCAACCTCACACATGCCATGACAGCATGGTTTTCTCAGAGACATTGTGCTTGTAATGGTTCAGTTTGGAACTTGATGCTTCACTGGCAAAAACACTGGTCTCAGCAATATTTGGCTACACTCTGCAATTAATGCAACGTGTCATATTGGCTGTTTTATCATATCTCTGTTTTCCACAAACTTAAAATGTTGGTGGTGGTGGGTGGTACAGTGTTACCCATGTCCATGCAGAAACTTATGCAGTTTGGAGGGAGAAAGTGTAACCTAGATCCCTTCTGAAGCTGCAATTTACCAACGTTTTCTAAACACCTCATATCCACTGATAGACCCTACTAGGCAAGGGGACAGTGAAAAGCCTCTTGACTCCGTGGAACTAAGACAGAGGCTTGGTCAAAAATTAGTTAGTTTGAAAAGAGTGAAGTCAGGCGTACTACTGTCAGATTTACTTCAGGTGAAACAGTGACTTTATCTACCAGGGCGGACTGCCCATCGACACACAAACAGACCTGCTAAATGTCAGGCGCAACAGTGCAACCAATGAAAATGTTAAGTTACACTTTACAGGTTTTTACTCATATGCTTGAGCCCTGCCTCTTGATACTCACTGTCTATGCACATCTGTACTCTAGGTGTCAGATGTTTACTTGTTGGTGCAGCAGACCATGACACAGCCTCTGATGAAGGACTATGTGCCATTTTCATGGGCATCCATGGTTCAGGTCAAATCGGAACACTTCCGTGCTCTCTCACATTACTATGCTGCTGCTGCACTCTGTGACCATGTGTGTAAGTAAAATATTTAAAAATTAATTGGGAGATATTTACACCTTGGGTAGAGTAATTTCTGCCTCAGCCACAATGAATTTTTTACTGAGATTATTTTTATTTTAGGTATTCGTAAGACCCCACCTACAACCAGGGTGTCCTAATTCTTAAGAAGTATTTTATTTTAGTCAAATATAAGACTTAGTAGACAGTTCCTAACATTCATTATTAAACATCTTAAAAACATTGTAGACATGGCAAATTTGATTTATGTTTCATGTTCTTGTGTTTTAAAATCTTTGTAAAGTCTAGATGTTTTTTCCACAGGAGATATTTTGACTTATCATCTACACTAATGGCTTTCGGCTAAGCCATAGATTACCCTAAAGCAGTGTCTAAAAAACACAATTAATATTGCTTAAGACATAAACTGTAGTTGGCACTAAAAGTGATAAAACAGAAAAAAGATTAAGGAAATAGAGAAGAACAGCAGACAGAACTGCAGAAGACAGACTGCTATTGATCTCAATCAATTGATCTCACAGTAAACAGGAGAGCATCATAGTGCCATATCACATACAAATGCAGTTGCTCCCATTTCTGTTGTCTGTGTTCAGTATTGGTAACCGTTGCTAATGAAACAGCCTAGTTATGAATAACAGGTTCCCTACTATCACACACTGTTGATATATAATATCCAATGTATATATGTATAAATTCAGTATTAGTATTCTTATTTATGAACAAACCTAGTTATGAATGTAAGATTCTATGCAATCACATGCTGTTAATAAGTAACTTGTTGTATTTTTGTTTTAAATACCTGTTTATCGGCCTTTCTTAAATACCAATAATCCATATCAACCCTAAAAAAAACAACAAAAAACCCAAAAAACATATCAGTCAATCCCCATTTAGTCCCTCATTGGGAGAAAAGATAAAAAAAACCGTGAAGGCTTTTTGATGTACAAGATGTCCAAATAGCAAAAAAGAAGTTTTTAGTTGAAACTGGTTTAGTTTTTGGCTTAAAGTTTGAGAGGATTACGCTAACTATTGATTTAGCTATGTAGCTATGCTAACTAGCATTGCATCAAATGTTGCCAGTTTAAAATAATGTCACAGGTAATGTGTTCATAGTTTTGGGATAGAATGGCTTACAGTGGCAATATTTTGATACACTTTGTTAATGTAGAGTTCCTCCAAGACCAATGTCTTTAAAAAAAAGTCTTCTGTCCTCTTCGTCGTAGAATTGCTTACCTAACATACAGTGTCCTCCAAAAGTATGTTGTTGCCTAATGTAGCAAAACCATCAGTTTACCTATACATGTTAACTTAATATATTTCCCTGTAGTGTCTGCAGAGGGGGAAGACTGTGATAAGGAAGCAGAGAAGGCCTACCTTCAGTTTTATGTCAACGTTCCTGCAGGGCCACCGCTCTGCCAGGTTCTACAAGATCCTGAAAAAAGACGAAAGCTAGGTGAGTTCATGCTCATCAGCTGCTATGAGCGAGAATTACATTTAAGTTTATTATGTGTGAACATCAAGGAAATTATCACCAAAGGGCTCAAGTTTAGAAAAGAATTACAGTTTATTTTCTTTATTCTCTCTCAAAGTTGCATACAAATACTTTAAAAATGTTCTCTGCCTACATTCAGGTAAAGCCCATCTGCGGTGTGCAGTAATCAGACATGAAGAGGCCTTGCGTGTCCACAGTCTGTGTAAGATCCTGAGAAAGATGGACATCCTGCAGGATGTGCTATCTCTTACCCACAAACGCTCCTTGGACAAATACTCAGAGCTGGATCGAGAGGATGACTTTGATGAAACTGCAGAGGCCCCAGAGATACAATGTAAGTTGAATCTATGACATTGTAATAAATTATTACTTTTAATCCATAAATAAATCACAGTGATTGTGGTTTCTTTTTTTGACAGCTCATACCCACCGGAAGCCAGACATCACGCCACCCAACTTCTCTACTGTCCAGGTTACTGATATCTTCCAAAGACTGGTAAGCCCTACAGAAAGTAAATGCACACACATAGAGAATTCACTTAGCCACTTAAAAACATTAGCACTGATTGTAAAGTCTTACTTACGATGACTCTCCCTGTGCTGCAGGGGCCTCTGTCAGTGTTTTGTGCGAGAGCTCGCTGGGGCCCAGTGCGTTTGATCTGCCTGCAGAGAAGAGAAGGTGGCCTGGGTCTCACACTCAGAGGAGACTCCCCTGTCTTGGTGGCTGGAGTGATACCTGGAGGCTGTGCAGAGGTGAGACAAACTCATCACGCCTGGAGCAAGGTTCAACAAGACAAAAAAATTAGACTTTTACTGATATCACTGTGTAATAAGGCTACAATGATTTATCACTCATCACTAGAGGGCATAACAGAGACAAAAACAAATGTATATAAGAAATTGTGCGGTCATGTTCAAAAGCCCATATTCTGCGGATTTACATGTGCAGAATTTTTTGTGGGAGACAATAAGTCCCTTTGGCGTGAACTTTGGGTTTTGTAAGTTTGCAGGCCTTTAACATGTATATTTAGAGGAAAGGGAAACCCCAGAAGCAGAATATGATTGCTGCAATAATAAGGAGATGAGAATAGTTAAGATGCAATTCCAGACTAGATGTCACCCCTAAATTAACATATAGTAGCCCTGCATATAGGGGTGATGACTTTGCAGTTAAAAATATGATCAGTTCTCTTTGGAAAATGCAACAGTCCCACTTTGTGATGAATTAATAAAGTATACTTTCAGTCATTTATTAACTGCTATGTATTCTTTAGGAGGCAGGACTAAGGGAAGGAGACTACATTGTGGCAGTAGACGGACAGGACTGTAAGTGGGCCAAGCATGGTGAGGTGGTCCACATGCTGAAGAGCTGCAGCGACAAAGGGGTAGAGATCAGTGTGGTTACATTACACTCACATGATATGCAGGTAAGGAAGGGCATCTGGGTGTGTGTGTTTTGGTTGCCAGTGGTTGGATGTATGTATACCTGTGTGTATGTTTACCTGTGTGTGTGTTAGCAGGTGGAGAGGAGGGCCATACTGCCATCTCACAGTATCAATAAGGAAAATACTCGGCAGCGTCTACTGAGTGGGGCTAAGGGCCAGAGCTCCGCCTCCTTGTTGAACTGGAACAGGAAGAAAAAACGAGAAGGCAGCGGAGTCACCAAGAGAATAGGAAGCACTTTCAGTTTGTCGTTTGGAAGCATCCGAGACACTGAGGCCATGTACTGAGACATGACTGCGGAGGAACCTCTCAGGGAATCACAGCAGTGGAGCACACGGTGTAGTTAGGACTAACATTTAGCACACCAAGAAACACAACCTCCTGTGTTAGTCGTGGAGGGTGATGCAAAGCTCTGACAAAAAAAGTACATGTTTGACACAGCCCAATGTATCTGACAACTGTGGACAGTCAATATGTGGAGACACACATAAGGTAAGGTAAAATACCTTGGGACAGATGTTAACCTTCAGAGGATTAAAAAAAACCCCCAAAAAACAGCTTCCTCAGAGGAGTATAAACTGCTGTGCACTGCCTTGGAGTCTAAAAGGTGTGTTCAGACAGAATGTGGGGCAACGTTTATACAGTCTTGCCACATCTAAAGTAAAGTATACAACTGGGTGAGAATAGAGGAAACTTTTTCCAGGGGGTACGAAGACAAGTTTACACAAGTTCAGTATTTTTACACAGAATAAAAGCACAAAAAGTAAAAATGAGGGAGGCTGGAGGAAAATTACAGAACGGAAGTTTTTTGAGTTCAGATAAAGGCTGAGCTGAGTGGAAACACACTGCAACACATAGTTGTTGTATTTGATTCTATTTTTGTACTATCTACTGTCTGTACAGTTCCATTTCTGGTAAACACACCTTTAAAAGTGAGCGCCCTGCTTCTTCATGCTGATGTTGTGTGGTGACAAGCCCCCACCTGTTGTGCTTTTTGATGTAGCTCTGTCGTCTGTTGTACTTTGCTGTAAGACAGAGACATGGACCATCAAAATTATTTTGAATATTGCTATGAAACTCAGCTTTTTCAGCAAACAAATATGACACACAATAAAGTAAAGTCATTTGGACTAGTAACTAGTTATTAAGTTTTAATTAATTAACCCAGGACTGACAGTAAGGCCAGAGTTAAAGATTCACTTATGGCAAAAAAAATAAAAAAGAAGAGCATGGATGTTGAGATTTGACAGGTTTTCAGACGTTTTTGTTAGTTTTTGAATCTCAATCCAGTATTTTTGGCACAATGCTGACACCAGATGAGCAATCATAAACAATTACAGGCCTATAGCTGTAACCTTGTTGATGTCTTGGGAGCAAGTAAGGAACAAATACAACATTTTATTTAAACTGGTAAGTAGGTTTACTGCTTCTAATTGTACAAGGCTTATTGCTCTATCAGTCTCTGGTTTAGGATTATATTGGCCTGTAGAAAGATAAAATTGCTTGCTGTTAACGCGGAAAAAATGAAGCAAGAACGACTTCAGTCCCTCCACTGTCACATCTATGCTCACTCGAGAAAGAGACTGGATGCTAGAAAATCTTACCTTCCTAAGAACCCCTCTCCCTGTTCACGCACTGAGCACCACAGGAATAGAACTGATTGGTCAGTAGGTGGTGTTTTTTATACACGTTGATCTGTCATCTCTAACATAACCTGCTCCAGAGCAGGTTAGGCGTGCAGCATGAGTTTCCATGGCAATGTATCCTGGAAAGAAATGAAGCACCAAACATGGGGTTAAACCTGAAGTTACCTCGATAACCTTAAATCCTGCTTCATACTACAGACCTCTGGTACCTTGTGACACAAACATTTGAAAGAGCATAGCCCTGCTAGTGTGGACATGCTATCTTTTATTTCCTAATGTCAGTGATTTAGACACGCAGACATTTTTTTTTCTTTCGCCCCCTGTATCAGCACGTTACGACCTAAATACCTCGACTACTTCTGTTCTGACATGATGCTATATGACGGAGCTGAGATTTATTAGTAATGATAAAAACATGACTGAAAGCTTGTTAACTACATCGAATTATGTGCAACATCAATGTGAATTGAGAGGGCAAAGCAGAATGAACAAGGACCACTACATTTCTTGTGTCTTACATGAACCTCAGGCGGTCTCTGAGGTTACAAAATAATGCAACAGTCACCTGTTTTCACCAGTAAAATGTTATCAACTGTTAATCTATTCACACAAAGTAAACTTTACCATAAGTATGATGTTAGGCCTCATCCAGTTTAATATTCATTTTCTGTGTTTAGTTTCATAATTTGTAGATGATTACAAGCACTTGACAAGTTTGATCTAATGTTTTGTAATGTAGTTTATAATGCACTGTGACAAATCCTTTGTTAATAATTTAGTTTTTGATGTTGCAATGATGAACATGACACACTTACATTAAGAGATTGTGAATGCTGGAAGTAAAATGCGGTACTGACCAAGTGCGCAGGTGAAGGACTTCTCTGTTTAATTACAATGTCTCTGTGACGTTCTTGATGTCTGAGAACAACATAGGTTGTCCCAGTCCAGTCACTGTACTCTGTCAGTCAATATTAGAATATATAGCTTAAGATGGTGGAAAAATGTTTGTTTTAACACTGTGTAATTTTTGTAAGATTTTGATACAACTAGAACTGCAGCACAATACTGTTGGTTTTGACTAAAAATGAATACTGTATGTGTTGCCATGGCCTGTGTGTATTTTGATTGGTTTGCATAATGTTTGTGCCATGGTTGTCCATAGTCATGCGTACAGAAAGCCAGAGGGGACAAAGCAACTCAGTAATTGTATTGTTTTGTTTGTTTGGTTCCTGCATTTACCAAAAATATATAGTAATTACAAAAACATTCTTTATGATATCAAGGTATCAAGGTAGAGAATCAAAAGGGAATTTTCTCCCTTGTAACCATGAAATTATTTTCTAATTTAAAGGAATCAATGCTTATTGAAAACTAAAATCTTTGCTAATGTCCTTTGTGGCTCTCTTTACTTTGGTGTTATGTCTCTACTCTGTCTCAATGTGAGTGAATATTTGACACAACTGTTGTCAGGAGAAAGAATTTCTCTCTGTGTTTATGTCTGAATATCTGTCTATCTCCAATGACTCTATAGTACTGTTCAAAGGTCTTAGGCCAAAATGAGGTTTGTGGTTTTTAGCAAGGTTTTATTGAGCATAAATATTTATTTCTGTCTCTTTATTAAGATACAAGACAATACAGCAAATATGTACAGTATTTAAAAAGAAACTCTGAACAAAGTGGCTTCTGCAGACTAAAATCAGTTCTTCGTGTGATCTTCCTTTGCACTTAAAACATCTTGAACTGTCTTTGGTCAACTGTCTCAAAGTGTATTAAAGTAATCTTGCTGTATAGTACAGAACGCTTCCATCAGCTCTTTTTTGGTTGTATCTTGGTTGCTACTCTTGCACAGAAGTCATTCCTGATCAAATTTCTCCATGTAGAGTGTAGAGAGGTCTCAGCATCCAGATGAAGCTGCCAAATGCTCAGCAAAATTCTTTGTTAGACTTGCTCTTGTCTCTCAAAGAAGACATTCTAAGAAACTTCTGATCATTATCTTAGCCACCTTCTACTTCTTCTGTCCTTCATTTATCCAGAAGCTTCACATTTTTTAACAGCTTAAATACCACATCTTTCATATCCAGTTTGTTTGCTGTTTTGCCTTTGAAAGTGGCCTTGCTGATTAAAATAATATCAATGTATGCCTGTCAAATTATTTTTGGTATTTTGAATGGAATGATGTGACTGAGACCCAGTCCTAAATATTAGCAACAATCCAATTAGTTAAACTCTTAAGATGTGTAAAGCTCAACTCCAAAAAAACAGGCCTAACTTGCAATGATTCTGTTATTTTCTGTACAATGCAGTTCAAGGCATTTTAAGTACAAACGGAGGTCGCAGTAAATAATGACCTTAACTGTTAAGTGTTTTTCTTTTTTTTCTGAAATGTTTGTGGGGTTTTTTTTTAATACTGTACATTTCGCATCAAGATACAACCGGATTATACAGCAGACTGAAAAATGTATATGTATGGTTCAGAACAACATTGTTAAAACACCAAAACTGACAGTTGCCCTAAGAGTTTAGCACAATACTGTATTTGGGGATTTGCACACTATCTTTTTCATGTACAAATACAATAAAAGTGACTCAGAACTACTGTTAATACTTCTGCAATTTCTATATTGTGTGTACTAATGACAGCTTGGATGCTTTGTTTTGCCGTCTGTGCATTCATCGAGACTACTGATGCCTCTA